TTGAGTCTGTAGGTCGACGCTCTATCCATTGAGCCAAACCAGTTAGGGCAATAAAGATATATTTTAAAAAGATATAAAGGTAGATAAAAGACCTAAATGTAAGTCATGAAACCATAAAAATCCTAGAAGAAAACACGGGCAGTAAAATCTCAGACATCTCACGTAACAGTATTTTTGCAGATACATCTCCTAGGGCCATGGTCAGCAAACTGTGGTTCGCAAGACACATGCGACTCTTTGGCTCCTTGACTGTGGCTCTTCCACAAAATACCACATGCAAGTGTGCACGTACAGTGCGATTGAAACTTCGTGGCCCATGCGCAGAAGTCGGTTTTCAGCCTGGGTGAGTCTATTTTGAAGTATTGTTGATATTTGGCTCTGTTGACTAATGCATTTGCTGACCACTGTCCTAGGGCAAAAGAAACAAAGGAAAGGTTAAACAAATACTACTACATCAAACTAAAAAGTTTCTGCACTGCAAAAGAAACCATCAACAAAATGAAAAGGGAACCCACTGGATGGAAGAATGAATTTATCAATGATATAGCTGGTAAGTGGTTAATTTCCAAAATACATAAACTACTCATACAATTCAACAAAAGGAAGACAATCCAATTAAAAAATGGAAAAATGTCCTAACCGGTTTGGCACAGTGGATGGAGCGTCGGCCTGCAGACCAAAGGGTCCCGGGTTCGAGTCTGGTCAAGGGTACATGCCTGGGTTGTGGTCTTGGTCCAACGTGCAGGAGGCAGCCAATTAATGATTCTCATCATTGATGTTTCTATCTCTATCTTCCTCTCCCTCTTGAAATCAATAAAAATATATTTTTAAAAAGTGGGAAAAGGACCAGAATAGATACTTCTCCAAAGAGGACATAAAGATGGCCAATAGACATATGAAAAAAAAATGCTCAAAGTCACTAATTATCAGAGATGCAAATTAAAATGACATTGACATATCACCTCACACCTGCCACCATAACTACCATCAATAAATCAACAAACAACAAATGCCGGTGAGAATGTAGAGAAAGGGAACCCCAGTACACTGCTGGTGAGAATGCAGACTGGTGCAACCACTGTGGAAAACAGTTTGGAGTTTTCTCAAAAAAATTAAAAATGGAACTGCTGTTTGACTCAATGATTCCACTTTTGAGAATTATCCTAAGAATACTGAAACACCAATCAGAAAGAATACAGAAACACCAATCAGAAAAGATATATGCACCCCTATGTTCATAGCAGCACAATTCACCATAGCTAACATCTGGAAACAGCCTAAGTGCCCATCAGTAGATGAATGGATTAGAAAACTGTGGTACATCTACACGATGGAATACTATGCTGCTGTAAAAAAGAAGGAACTCTTACCATTTGCAACGGCATGGATGGAACTGGAGAGCATTATGCTAAGTGAAATAAGCCAGTCAATGAAGGAAAAATACCACATGATCTCACTCATTCATGGATAATAGAGACCATTATAAACTTTTGAACAATAATAGATACAGAGGCAGAGCTGCCTCAAACAGATTGTCAAACTGCAGCGGGAAGGCCGGGGAGGGTTGCGGGGCAGGAGGTAGCGGGGTAAGAGATCAACCAAAGGACTTGTATGCATGCATGTAAGTATAACCAATGGACATAAGACACTGGGGGGTAGGGGAGGCCAGGGGATTGTCAAGGGCGGGGGGAAAAAATGGACACATATGTAATACCCTTTGTAATACTTTAAGCAATAAAAAAGAAAGAATACATATACCACTATGTTCATAGCAGCATTGCTTTCAACATCTAAGATCTAAAAATAGCCCAAGTGCCCATTAGTAAGTGAGTGGGTAAAAAAAAGCTGTGGTACATTTACACAATGGAATATTATGCAGCTGTAAAAAAAGAAGGATCTCAGCCTTGTGACAGCATGGATGGACCTGGAGATTATTATGGTAAGCGAAATAAACCAGTCAGAGAAAGACAAATATCAAAAGATCTCACTCATATGTAGAATCTAATGAACAAAATAAACTGACGAACAAAATAAGTCCAGAGGCATGGAGGCATGAAACAGACTGACAGATCTCAGAGGGAAGGTGGGGTGGAGGAAACAAGAAGAGATTAACCAAAGAACACATATGCATATATGCATAGCCCTTGCACACAGACAACAATGTCCTAAAGGCCTGGGGTGGGGTGGGGACTGGGTGAAGGGGAGCAAAGGAGTGTGTGTGTGGAGGGAAGGGGACATCTGTAATACTGTCAATAATAAAAAAGATATAAAGATAATCACAACCAGATTTGGTTACTAATAGAATATGAGGGACAATGAAGAGGGGACAATGGCTAGGTTCTGAGTTGGCCAATGGGTGGATACTAAGGCAGGAAACAAAGGGAAAATAAGCAGGTCTAGATGAGAATAATTTACATGAGAAAGCATGAGACAGTATATAGAGAGACTTTTAATCTTTTTGAGGGGTGAGGAATCACAACATCTTTTGAGAATCTGCTAAGAAGTATGTTCTCTCTCCCTACAAAAAAATTGAATCTATTACCACTACCACCCTCACATATACACATAACTTTGAATAACATTTAATGGTTTCCACAGACTTTCACGTTCACAATGCCTAATCTAAGGTTACTCAGGATGGACTGCAGAGAATATTCCTCAGGGCCTTTCATAAATGAGGGAGTACCAGAGTGGTATGGAAGGGCAGATAGTGATCCTGCAGCAAGGCTAGGTTCTTCCTAAGTGCCCTGGAGGCGAGGAGGTTAGGGTGAGGATCCCAGCAGTCTCCACTTCCTAAACCAGGTGAGAGATAGCAGAAAAGTCTGAGAGAGGCCTCTACCTGGCCAAGGTGAAACAGAAGAGAGCAGGCTGACTGAGGAGGCTCTTCCCCCAACAATCACTTATCTATGATTCTTGGAATACCCCACCACCAGGTGTAGAAGAGGCCCACCTGATTTCCAGTATGAGGACAGACCCCTGCCCCCACCATGTATCTGGGAAGTGAATCACTAGGTGGGAATTTGGGAAAGAGATGGAGGGAACCCAAAGATTTGCTCAGGTCAATACCTTGGTCACCTCTCCATCCATATAATAGGAGTAAGTAACAATCAGGAGTATGAATGTAAGGAATGAGAGGCTCTGGAACATGCATGTCAAACTCAAAGGCTAGCAAGGGCCAAATAAACAAGGTTTAAGTTTATGTGGGCCGCAAAAAAACCAAAAGCTTCCATTTTCATAGAAACGTAGGTTTATTTCCATAGAGACATGCTGAATACAAAGGGCTGAAATAAATGTCATTGTTAACATAAAATAATAGAACATTTTAATAAAAATTTATCTTTTTTTCTTGAACATTAACTTACCAGACACTGAATAACTGCACAAATTAATAAGCATAACGCAAATAAACCTATTTTTCTTGTGCTCCAAAAATGAAATATATCCTGTTGCGCACACCAAACAAGTCAGTCCAAGACTAATGACATGGCAACCGGCTGCTAAAATATTTGCTGCTAGTATTAGTGGAGAGAAATGGTGCTCCTGTGCATAAGGCGAGTAAGGGAAATGAATGCAACACGATTATAGTAATCAGAACTACTAATAATTGTAGTTCATTATTAATAATCATGTATAACAGGGTATTGTAAAAATTAAGCTACAAAAATTTTTATTAAAACGTTTCTTACATACCGTTATATTGGCTGGGCCACATGCTGCCGGAGGGAGGCAGTTTGACATGCTTGCTCTGGAATGTGGCAGCGGGAAGACCAGCCCCTCCCAGTCTATCAAAAAAGAAATGATCTGACTATCTTCATCGCTCAACCTGCCTCAAAACCATCATTAGAATTAGCCATTAAACTTCAGCAGATGATTTCAGTTGTCAGCAAATGCTTTTTCATATTTAATGAATGTTTATTGTGATAGAATAAGATATGTAAGTTTATTAATAAAACTTGAAATTTGACCCAGAAGGGGGGAAAAGGTAGATTATTTACATTAAATGGCCATGATCTGACAACTGGACTTCTTCCCGAAGATCTACTTCACAGATCATTTTCAAAATACCAACTGTGTTTAGGAACACCCGCCCCCCTCCTTTCTGTAAAATTTTGAAACAAGCTAGAATGTTCCAAAAACGAAGTTGTATGGAGCCCAAAGAAAATGCTTTCTGTGTGGTGCAGAACATAAGCAATGATACTTCCCCAGGTTGAAGCGTGTCTTTTAAAAATGAAATGTCATACTTTTCAGTTTTTTGGACCATACTGATTTTTAAAAAGGAAATAATAAAGAGAAATGGTTAGGAAGCAGATATATAGCCAGGGAGAAGAGGAGAGAAAGCAGAAAAGGCCAAAGCCAATGCCAAGGCTGTGCTGTTGTTGGGGATGGGGGTGGTGCAGACCCTCCCTGGTAACCAGGGAACAACCCCCAATCGTAGGGTGGGCCCTCAGATTGGAGAGGACCAGGCTGAGTGACAGGAAGGTACACGCTGGGCCCAGCAGAGACTTGGAGAGATTGGTTGCGCAGTTGGGGGCGGGTCCGGTCAAACACC